GAAGAATAAACAAACTTGTCTTGGAAGACATACAGCTAGAATCTCCCTTAGAAGCATGGATGATAAGACGTTACCTCACACTCATTTTGAACATGTTGTTAAGAGAGACCAGCTCCTGGAAAAAGATATGATGCTTGGTAAAGTAGAAGGTCATCAAACAAGTGGAAGATGCTCAAGGACATGGAATGACACAGTAGTTCCAACAATGGGCCTAATTATAACAATTATGAGGATGGCAAAAGACAAGGAAGTGTTCTGTACTGCTGCACATGAGGTTGTTCTGAGTCGGAACAGACTCAGCAGCACCCAACTACAACAAAATATCCTGCGCTTCATCGACCGATCAATCTCTCCCCAATTATGGCAGCCATTTCTCATTTTGCTTTTTCCAGAATGTCATGTCGTTTGCATCACATAGTAGGCAGGTTTTTCAGACTTCCTTCTTTCTTGAAATATGCATTAAAGGTCTTTTTTTTAGCTTCATAGTTCAACTCATTTTTTTGACAAATAACATTCCATTATATGGATACATCAGTTTATCTATTAACATATTGAGGGATACCTGGGTTGCTGTACCCTTTAATTTTAAATAAACACCGACATCAAGGGGTACCTGATGATAACACGGGAACAAGACCACCGTGTAATGAGTTAGATGCCTCAGGGGTTGAATAAGCTCTGTTGAGAAGCAAGGATGACATGGTGATATAGCAGGAAAGACGAGCTATGCTGCATAGGAAACCCACCAACAGAACTCTGACTGCTTAGGTTCAACAAGGGTCTCATATGGTATGGTCTGAAAAGGATCTTGACTTAATAATTCCTTTTCATTTTTCTAAAGAGGATCCCTGAACAATTCTTTCAAAGTGGATTTTTAGGCAATGGATTTTTTTTTAAGTCTTGAGGGAAAATAGGAAGGGATTAAATGCACACAAAAAAGACTGCTTTAACAATGTCCTGAAAAATGTGGAGGTAATTTTTGAATTGGGTAATGGGTGGCAGGTTTAAGAGTTTTAAAGTGCCGAATAATAGTAAAGTCCTAGATTGGTAGAATTATGGATGTCAAAACAATTATTATGAGGGCTCAGAAAGGAAGAAAACCATAAAGTTTCTACCATCTTAGAGATAATACTATGTTTCTACAAAGATAAATAGGAACTTTATATACTCTGATAGTTAGGTTTTAAAAAGAAATGATGGAACATGTCATTGGGGATTGGGGGAAATGTAGTGCTTTTCACATAATGCTAAAAAATTTGTATATTATATTCATGTTTGTTAGAAAGTCAAACTTAAAAGTGATTAACTTGTAATTTCCCTGAAGATTTTATTA